TACTGAAGTTATCTAGTCCCTGAGGGAAGCTCAGAAGTGTGGTAAAGATCAAAGGGAGACTTCTTAAGCATTCAACACGGAGGTGCCACAAATGTCTTCTTACCCAGAGAGGGCACCAATGAGAGAATGAAGAAATGATTCCATTCAAGTTAAACTTAGTGTGCCAGTAAGTTTACTGTAGCTCCTATTGGAGTATGAGCAGGAATTACTACAGAAACATGGGTGACTCAAAGGAAATAACTTTTTCGAAAAGCCCACCCCAGCATAGCGAATGAGTCCCTAAAACTGAATATTCCAAGTTGCCTCCATGCTATGGAGAAAGCTTAGACAGTCAGAGTTCCTTCTCAGTAGGAGTGGACCTTATGGATCTTCTAGCTTTTGGGGTTAGCTTAGATGGGGATTTACTTCATCAACCAAATCAGGCTATATGAATGTCCTCAATTTTTAATAAAAATAAAACTTTAAAACACAGCACTGATAGGCAATACACAGGGTTTTCATGAGTAGGGTTATTGGAGGAATTAGGAATTGCATTTGAAAAGAAGGAAGAAATACTGTACTATCACTTTTCTGTAATGTTTTAACAATTCCTTTTCAGAACTCCCAGAGCAATGAACATTATGCTGGGTAAAACTAGTTACAGAAAATCACCCTTGCTTTTCTTTGAACCATTGGTAAAGAAAAAGAAATCTATCTATCTATCTATCTATCTAGCTAGCTATAGTAAATGATTTCTGTGATTAGATGTAAACAATATAAAATACATAGATTTCATGTAGGTTTTATTAATATAAATATATGAATTATACTTTTATATTAACCCCTTTTATTATTGTAACAATATACTTGATAAAAGCAACTTAAGTGATGAAGGGTTCTTCTGACTCATTGTCAGAAGGGACTGTCCTTATGGAGAGGAAAGCATGGCAACAGGGCATGAGGCAGCTGGACACATGGCAGCCCCAGTCAAGAAGCAGAGAGAGCTAAAGGCTGGTACTCAGCTTGCTTTCTCATTCTTTATTTATCCCATGACACCATCCCATGGAATAGTACGGTTCACTTCTGTGATGAGTTTGCCATCCTCTTGCAGGAACCCTGTAGACATGCCAAGAAGTGTAATTCCTCAATGACTCCAATCCAGTAAGTGAACAGGAAAGATTACCCAGGCTGTGTGTATTTTGTATATACATAATACATTACATATTAACATAAAGTATTATTAATAGATACCAATTGCAGAATGAAAAGGAGACATGGTGATACAAACATAGACAGCTTCATATCACATACAATATCTCCTTGACTTGGGAGAGTCATACAGGAAAAACTTCATTTAGAGAAAACAAGAAGTGAAGATTGAGGGTAATAACAGATGACACTGACATTTCAACTTTAGGGTTCTATTACTCTCAATCTGTCTGTATGAAGAATATAGGCTGTGCTAAATGTCTTGTAGAAAACTTTTATTGCTTCCTATAACTTCTCAAACTTCATTCAGCATTCTCTCTAATATAAACTCAAATTAAGACTCCTAAGTAAAAGGATATGATATATTTGCTATTTCTTTGTGACTAACTCTACCGTAAACCTAAGCCTTCTTTTAGACAAATTAAAACCAGTGATTCCAGTCTGATTGCCTGTTTAGTCTACAGCTTATCTTTGGGGCAAGCATTTTGAGACCATATACCAATTATTAGCAAGAAAAATACTGTATGCATGGAATGTGGAGTCTTTAAAGAGATACTAGACCCCATCTATGGTTACTGTAACTAATAACAAAAATTTTTAATGAAATTTTTTCATTTATTTTACATCTTGATGACAGTTTCCTCTCCTTCCTCTCCTCCTACTCTACTCCCCCCCTCCCAGCATCTCTTCTGCCCCTCACATCCACTCCCCCTCCATCTCTGTTCAGAAAGGGGCAGACCCTCCATGTGCAGCAATAAATCATGGCACATCAAGTTGAAGCAGCACCAAGCTCCTCCCCCTGCATCGAGGTTGGGTAAGGCGACCTAGCATGAGAAAAGCCAGCTCAAGAGCCAGGAATAGGCCCTGATCCCACTGCTTAGAGCCCCACAAACAGACCAACAACTGTCACCTACATTCAGAGGGCCTGGATAGGTCCCATGCAGGCTCCCTAGCTGTCAGTCCTGAGTCAGCGAGCTCCCAGGAGGCCAGGTCAACTGTCTCTGTGGGTTTCTCTGTCATGACCTTGACCCTGCCCCTCCTCCATTTCTTTAGGAGGACTCTCCAAGCTCAGCGTAGTGCTTGGCTGAGGATCTCTGCATCTACTTCCATCAGCTACTGGATGAAGGTTCTCTGATGACAGTTAGGGTAGTCGCCCATCTTATTACAGGAGAAGGCCGGTTCAGGCACCCTCTCCACTGTTGCTAGGACTCTTAGCTAGGGTCCTCCTTGTGGATTCCTGGGCGTTTCCCTGGCACCAGCTTTCTCCCTAACCCCTATCCTATAAAAACATTTCTTTCATTAGTCTCCCCCTCCAAACCACCCCCAACCAGACCAACCAGGTCTCTCATGTTCCCATCCTGTCCCCTGCCCCCAGTTTACCCAGGAAATCTCTTCTATTTCCCTTTCCCAGGGAAAACCATGAGTCACTCTTTGAGCCCTCCTTGTTACCTAGCTTCTCTGAGGTTGTGGATTGTAGCTTAGTAAAAGTAATTGTGGTTATCTTTTACTTTAGAGCTAAAATACACGTATGAGTGAGTACATACCATGTTTGTCTTTCTGGGTCTGAGTTACCTCACATGGGATAATTTTTTTCTAGTTCCATCCATTTGCCAGCAATTTTCATGATGTTACTGTTTTTTTTTTTTATGACTAAGTAATACTTGATTATATAAATATACCACATTTTCTTTATCCATTATTTGGTTGAAGAACATCTAGGTTACTCCAGGTTCTGTCTATTATGAACAATGCTGCTATTAACATAGTTGAGCAAGAGTCCTTACCAGGATTACCCCAGCTAAGATTCCTAGCAATAGTGGAGTGGATGCCTGAATGGCCTTCTCCTGTAGTCAGATTGGTGACTATCTTAATTGTCAGAGAGCATTCATCCAGTAACTGATGGAAGCAGATGCAAAGATGCACAGCCAAGTACTGGACCAATCTCCATGAGTCCTGGTGAAGAGAAAGAGAGAGGAAAGGTTGTAGGAGCCAAGGGGGTTAAGTTCATGACAGGGGAACCCACAGAGACAGCTAGCTGACCTGAGCTTGTAGGAGCTCAGGGACTCTGGACTGACAGCTAGGGAACCTGCATGGGACTGACCTAGGCTCTCTGCATGTGTGTGACAGTTGTGTAGCTTGGTCTGTTTGTGGGGCTCCTAGAAGTGGGATCAGGGCCTGTCCTGGCACTTTAGCTGAGGTTTAGAACTCAATCCCCAAGCTGAGTTGCCTTGCCCAACCTTGATGAAGGGGGGAGGAGCTTGGTCCTGTCTCAACTTGTGCCATGCTACTGTGACTCCCATGGGAGGCCTGCCCCTTTCTGAATAGAGATGGAGGAGGAGTGGATGGGGGCATAGAAGGGAGATGGGGGGAGGGAATGGAGGAGAGGAGGGCAGAGAAACTGCAGTCAGTATGTAAAATAAGTGAAAAAAAATTAAAAGTCTTTGTGTTATGATTGAACATCCTTTGGGTATATGCCCAAGGTTGATATAGCTGGGTCTTGAGGTTGATTGATCCCAATTTTCTGAGAAACTGCCATACTAATTTCCAAAGTGGCTGTGCAAGTTTGCACCACCAGCAGCAGTGGAAAAGTGTTCCCCTTGTTCCATATCCTCTATAGCATGAGCTGTCACTTGTGTTTTTGATCTTAGCCACTCTGATGGAATTTCAGAGTTGTTTTGATGTGTTTCCCTGATGGCTAAAGATGTTGAACATCTCTTTAAAGGGTATCTCGACCATTTGAGATTCTTCTGTTGAGAATTCTCTGTTTAGGTAAGTACTCCATTTTTTAAATTGGATTATTTGGTATTTTGATGTTTCATTTTTTAACTTCTTTATATATTTTGGAGATGTGGGGTTGGTGAAGACCTTTTCCCATTCTGTAGGCCTGTTTTTTGTCCCTTTGATGGTATCCTTTGCCTTACAGGAACTTTGCAGTTTCATGAGGTTTCATTTTTTAATTATGAATATCAGTGTCTGTGTAATTGGTCTTCTATTCAGGAAGTTGTCTGCTGTGCCAATGTGTTCAAGGCTCCTTCCCAATAACATTTTTTTAATTTTATAATTAACTTAATTTCACATATCAGCCATGGATTCCCCCATCCTCCCTCCTCCCACCCCCCAGTCCTCACCCCCAATCCACTCCCTATCCCTACCTCCTCCAAGGGAAGGTTTACCCTGGGGAGTCAGCCCAGCCTGGTAGACTCAGCTGAGGCAGGTCCAGTCTCCTCCTCCCTACACCAAGGCTGAGTAAAGTGTCCCAGCATAGGCCCCAGGCTCCAAAAAGCCAGCCCATGCACCAAGGACAGGTCCTGGCTCCACTTCCTGAGCCCTCCCAAACAGTTCAAGCTAATCAACTGTCTCACTGTATGAGCAAAAAAAATTTTAAAGAAAATTTTACTATAATACTGGCAACAAAGATTTTGAACAGATATACCATCAAGTTTTCTATGCCTCTGCATTGAACACTTACGAAAGAAGCTGGGATAAAATTTTCCCAAATAAGCCATCACCATTCCGACTCATGTAGCCTCCAGTACAAATACCACAATGAATTTGCTAAAAATGCAGATTTCTCTGGCACAGTGGATGAATTTTAGTGACATTAGGAACTCTAAGACCACTGTTTTGAAAGTGAACATATTCCAGAAATCTGTAGTCCCACACCACAGGACTCTTGCTTGGCATAAACCAATATATATATATATATATATATATATATATATATATATATCAATTACAATGACTTGTAGGTTTCAGTTCATAATGAACATCTTGTATTTTATCTGACCTTCCAATCTGGACTTTGTTATCAATTTGGTTTTTATTTATTACCGATGGAAAACTATGTATAACAGGATTGGCTATTGTTTTTTCTTTTATTGCAAATAGATTATTTTCATCCAGTATGTTCTGAGTAGGTTTTCTCCTCCCCCTACTCCTTCCAGTTCCTCAGCATCTCCCCTCTCATCTGGATCCATAGTCTTTCTGTTTCTTCCTAGAAAACAAACAGGCACCTAAGAAACAATAATAAAATAAAATAAATCAAAACCAAATATATTGGAATATAAAAAAAAAACAAACAAGAAACTCTAATTTTCCTTCATGAAAATTGGTATACTAAAATAACACATTTGCTTAAATTGTTAGGGAAAATAATTCAACCAGTTTTAATAACTGTTTTGTTTTCTATAACAATTCAGTATTCTTCAAGTTAAATCTCATTGTGTATACACTACTCTTTCAAAAATATTCTGCAAGTTGTGTCTTTTCAATTTACTGATAATTTTCATTACTGGAAAAAGCAGCCATTAAAATGTTCTTGTTACAGTCTCAGGTACATCATGCAAAAACCAAAACATTATCCTCTATGAAGCAGTATTCATATAAAATATGTAGGCAAACATGTAATATTAATATTAGAATTAGAAGAGATCTAGATTAAATCCATAGTGTCACTAATGTCTTTGCCATTTTCCCATCTTTTCATAGCAGAAAAATCAAATAATCTCAAAAACTATGTTGATCTCCATAATCATTTTAGAAAACATTAGATTGTTTCTTGAAAAAGAGGAAATACTAGAACGAAACAAAAATAAAATGTTGTTAAAATGGTTTAAATTGATCTGATAATTAAAATGAGAGTTTCACTTAATTTGGAAAGAAGTTCCTAAAGATTTGTGATGGGCATAGATTTGTGGTTGATTTAAACCATCACAAAGTTCAATAATGTAAGGCAGCTTGAGTGGGTAGAATTTGAAGTGTGTACTAACATCAATATAATTTCCCTATGAATAAAAACCTAAAGTCAAGCACTAAAGGGCATGCTTTGCCTTTAATTTTTGTTTATGAGCTCCTTGGTCTTCTCAGCTGACTGTATCCCAGAGGCATCCTGTTAAACCGTACACTGTAACACACGTGTCATGAGAGCAGAAAGTTTTCATATCATATTTGGGAGGTGCCCGGGGCCTCTCTTTGGTCCCCAAATCTGTAGTCTGCCTTATTCTTCACTGAAGCTGGGAATCTACTCTCAACTGATGCTAGGAGTCCATTCAACTCTAAATTGATCTATTTGAAATGTTTTTTTTTTTCTTAGCAGGAAATTAATTTAAAAAAAAAAACTTCCTTTTTAAGCTAACATTGCAGGAAGAAACCTCTCGCGAACTCTCACTCAACTCACAGAGAAACCATTGATAAGGAGCAAGCAGTGTTGCATGCACACTGAAGAGGGAAAAGCAAGCAAGTGGAGGTGTGCCAAGATATACAGTCACTTCAGCAGATCTGTGTGCTTGTG